ATTTTTGTTGTCATTTTAATTTTTCGTATTTTACTATTCTTAATTTGAGGTTTTATTAAAAAATCGAAAATAAACTATTAAAATTACTAAAATATTTTGATGTTTTATCATAAAAAATTATGAAAAAGCAAAATTTTTCAAAAAAATAAAATTATAATTTTGATTTTATTTTTTTGAAAATTTGATAAAATGTTTAAAATATTAAACTATCATTGCTTAGTATTCAATCGTTCAATCTTGAATTAATCATGATCAATCAATTTTTCGATCTAATTAATAAATGTATTGCAGATTTATCATATTTCGATTTTCGGTACAAATATGGCAAATCCATTGGGCTTGGACAAATCAACATCGTTTTCATACTTTTTACATGAGTATAGCATTTGTTGGTGGTGGTTTCTTTTTCATAGTTAATGTAATTCTATTTTTACGAGTCTTAGCATCTGATGGATATTTAGGAGAATTTGGAAGACGACATACTGCCATTAATCGGTATGCAAATTTTTTTTATCACTAAATAACTTATTTTATCCTATTTGTTCTAGTTATTGAAGAAATTTTAGTTAATAAAATGTTTAAAATATTAAAATACTATTGCTTAGTATTTGATCGTTCGATCTTATCTTCATTATAATCAGTCAATTTTTAATCTAATTAATAACTTTTACTCTTAAAAGAATAAAAAGTAAGTTTGGTTATCATAAGTAATTCACTAATACATAAAATTACATTTATTGGAAGAAAAAACTTCCATGAGTTACATAGCATTCGATAATGATTTAAAGCAACAATCAAGCAAAATTCTGTCAGTTTGTAAAATTACAATAAAACGATATTAATGAATGTAAATATGTTAAGGCTACTTTGTATAATTAACTAATAATTTTGCAGAGATTCTCAAAAATCAAAGCTACTAATGGAAGATACAAAGAACAGTTGAAGTAATTCTGATTACTTGTTTATTCTATAATTCATCGTATTGAAAATAAGATTCTAATTTTGGTTGCATCCTTGAGCTAACATTAGTAAATTTATATGATAGTCAGATTTATCCTGCATTAGAGATTTCAAGTTTTAAATTATTGATTACCGTATATAGTTGATGGTACAATAATTATATTATACTTCCACGAGTACTGTCATTGTGTTATATATCGCATTGATTCTTCATTTTTCTTGAATCTTATTTTATTTTATTATATTTTATGTAGAATTTTTATTTTCAGTGCAAGTTTGTAATTTGCAAGACTTGTAAAAAGGTTTTCATACTTATAAAAAATGCTCAATTTGGTACTTTTTTTCACTTAATAAATTTTTAGAATTTGTATTAATATTAATTTTATTTTTAATATTTGTTGTGAAAAGGTTGAATTGTTTAAATGAACCTTCACAACAAATGATAGCAGCGATGGTTAAAATTATCAAAATTCAAGCTTAAGTTTGAATCTTTTTATTGAAAAAAAGTATCAAAAACTATTTTCTGAATTCATCGGATTGAATTTTGAATATTAACGTTTGATTTACGTGACAATATGCTCTTAAGTGCTTACTTCAAAACTGCACAGTATACTTTATATGAAACTGTTATTAGTCCATGTTATTGTTGTTGTTATTTTGTATATTTCTTTTTAATAATTGTTGTTTGGTACTTTATACATATTAAAATTGCAAGCAGTTTTTTGCATCAGAATTTTGAATTTCTAGCAGGGTTTCTGCGAGTAATTGATAATTCTGTACTTGAAATATTGAGAGTATTAAAAAGCTTGAAAATTTATGTAAATAAAAATTAGAATTTTGATGAGCAGAGTTTAATTGTACAGATTTTGTCAATGCAAACTCAAATATGCAAATTTCTTGAATGCAAAAAAGCTGAGATTCACATTTTGTAAGCTTCTAAATGTGAATAATTTAAGCTCGAGATCTGTCAAGACTTGTTTTGATCAATCAATCGTTTTATGTCGAGATCTGTTTTGATCAATCAATCCTTTTCAGCTAGCGAATTTTGTTTATAATTTTTGATTGAATATAAGAGATTCATTAAAATAAATCAGAGTAGTGAAAAGTTTGTTAGGGAAATTAATTGCCGTTTTTCAAGCGCTTTTTTCTTTTTTCGTGAAATCTAAACAAAACTTGTCTAAAAAACTAATAACGTTTTGTCAACAAATTTAACTATAACAGATATGAATGCTAATAATTCATAGAATAACTAAGAATATAAAGCTTAGTGATTTTAATCTACAAGA